GTGTGTGTGTAGACTGGTGGTGATATAGAGATTTATGGTCCACCAATTGAAAAGGCAATTCTGCAATGGGGAATCAAGGTTATTTCGTTTGGTTTTCCAATTTCATATATCCATTAATTACTATTAATCTGTTTGTAGCTTGGAAGGAATCTTGAAGCCTTAAAGTCTAATTTTTTTGTTCTTCATATGTTCCCATTCAACTTTGAGAAAAAAACGAGGCGGCGCTGCTGTTAAATTGGTAATGTGAATTAATTGTTCTTTGCTGTATAATGTGACATTTTAAGATCGTACAGTACGAGTTATATTTTAATTTCTATACATGTGGTGTTGTCCCTATTTCTTACCCTCTTGAATGCAACAAATATTTCAAGAATCTAGATGACCTTTTATTGTACGGTCTTTAGTAAAAATCTTGTTATGTCTGAGAATATTATTTACAGGACATGGGAAATAGTATTACAATACTATGGTTTTTGGATAACTTCTTTTTCATCCATGCTCAAGTATAATTAAAGTTCGATTGCCTTTTGTTATATTTACAGCCCACTTATGAAGTTCATACACACTAGAAAGGGGCTACTAAAATAGCATTGGCCAAGCTGCAACATACTCAACGAACACAACCCTTGCGTTCACGTGAAAAAAATAGTGCGTTTGTTTAATAAAGTATTTTACTTGGCCCGGGGAACAAACAACTTTAACTCAACGAATGCAAACTCTTGTGTTCGTGTGAACAAATAGCCCGTTTGTTTAAACAGTGAGTTAGTTTGGTCCATTTTCCTGGAAAACGGGCAACTTTACTCAACAAACGCAACCACTACTTTCGAGTGAACAACTAGCTTGTTTGTTTGAAAAACTATGGTAGTTTAGCCCATTTTACCGGGGAGCGGGCAACTCCACTGAATGAACGCACTCTTGCATCCGCGTGAACAAATAGCCCATTTGTTTGAAAAAGTTAGTTAGTTAGGTCCATTTTTCCGGGGAACGGGCAACTTTACTCAACGAGCGCAACTCCTGCATTCGCATGAATAAATAGCCCGTTTGTTTGAAAAAGTAAATTAGTTTGATCCATTTTTCTGGGGAACGGGCAACTTTACTCAAAGAACGAGTTTGAAAAAGTATGTTAGTTTGGCCCATTTTTCCTGAGAACGAGCAACTTTACTCAACGACCGCAACCTCTGTCGTTCGCGTGAACAAATAGCTCGTTTGTTTGAAAACATAAGTTAGTTGGGCCTATTTTTTGGGGGAACGGGCAACTTTACTCAACGAACGCAACCCCTGCGTTTGCGTGAACAAATAACCTGTTTGTTTGAAAAAGTAAGTTAGTCGGGCAACTTTACTCAACAAACGCAACCTCTGTGTTCGCGTGAACAAATAGCCCATTTGTTTGAAAAAGTTAGTTAGTTGGGTCGTAGTGCCTGTATGCAATTCTCATTTTACAATATGCAATTGCATAAACTTGTATGCAATTTTGTAGCGTCTGTTTGCAATTTTTGTTTACAGTATGCAATTGCATTTAGCCCTTCTTTTGGTTTTTTACTTTTTTTCTTTTTTTACTAGAAAACTCATTGGCTCACACTCTTATACAATATGCAAAGATCACTAAATTTCCTATTTCGCTAGAGAGCCGCTTTTTATTTTTTGTGTTCATTTGCAGACTTGTTGAGTAATTTACCTAACGAATGAGGCTATTTACCTCTTTGTCTTTCATGAGGTAAATTGCCTCGTTCCTTAGGTAAATTACTCAATGAGCGGGGTATTTTATCCCGTGAACGTAAGGGGTTTGTCTGTTGAGTAAACGTGATCGTTCCTAGAGTAAATTGATAAAGAAACCCTCTTTACCAATCCAACGATATGTTTTACTCATCGAACGAACACCTTACATTTTCGGAGTAAAATACCCCTTACGTTGCGCAATTTACCTAAGGAACGAGCTGATTAACCTCATGGACAACTCGTATGATGAGAACTACTAGTTCAAGGATTAGAGTAGTGTGCCAAGGTTGGTTTTAGCTTAAAATGTTAAGAATCGTGAGGAGGTCAATTTGATAATTATGAAATTTTAAAAAATTATGGAACAAATAAAAATTACTAAAAATACTATACTTTTCTTTGAAAATTTGTAAATTAATATTTGTATCAAGGAAACGTAAGATAAGAACAAAATAAAACTCTCACAGAGGAGGAGAGCATTCGAGTCGACTACTCCACATTATCAGTAATTGCATATAGGGGTCAAAAACTGCTTTAAACATACACATTATTGGTAATTGTATACATGGGGTCAAAAATTGCATAAAATGTATGCAATTGCACATAAGAAATGTTATAGCAATGTTAATAATGGTATTCATATCCTATAGCTAAGAAAGCACTAGCTCTGAGATTCAAAGAGCATGAGTAGGTAAAAGCTTTGTCACCAAGTGCTTGGGAGCTCCTCCAAATATTTTGGATTTGTGTCACAATTCCAATGCATATCCAAGAAAAAAATTTAAATCATAAGTCAACTTTACCAAAACCAATTTAATCCTAAAAACTAAGATGTAAAATCATCAATTTAGCAGTATAAAACGTATATGTTGCTATTAGTTTTTACATGCAACTTTGGCAGTTGAGGAGTAAAGTGAAGGACATAACTGCAGCAACAATAGAGAGCCACCATAACTGAAAGTTTGGAATTTTAGAGAAGATAATTTGCTATGCCAAAAGCCATCATATAAGGGTTGCTGTTTACATGGCATGGTGTTGTGTCACCATTCTTGTAGAAACAGTTAGACCTCTTTCTTTCAGTCATGGCCAAATACTTCCATCAGTCACCACCCGGTCATCGGTTCGGATCACAATCCACTGGTCTTGGAGATAACCATGTATCACAAAAATCATAGAAGGCAGTTCAAGTTCGAAGCTTATTGGGCCAATGAGGTGGAGGCTAAACAGATTATTGAAAAAGGTCGGGAAAAGCAAGTTCATGGTCCGTGGATACATAAATGGAAAGCTAAACTTCAACATTACACTACCCTCCTTCAAAAATGGAGCAGAGAAAAGTTCTCGAACAATAAGAAGAGAATGTAGGCCCTACACGCTGAGCTCAATGAAAAACAATTAAGGTGGGATGAGAATCATGCAGAGATAAGGCACATCACTCAGGAGATAACCGAAATCGGGGCAAGAGAGGAATAATATTGGCATCAACGGTCCATGATAAAGTGGCTTTCAAAGGGGGATGCCAATACTGCTATCTTCCACCAATCTATACTTGCCCGTAGACGACAGAATTGTATCCTTACAATTAAGGGCGATGATGGGCGTTGGCATGTGGGTAAGAAAGCTGTCGGGGGGGGGGGGGGGGGGGGGGGGGTTTGAGGGGGGGGGCGGTATCTGCTTTTGACTGATAGAAAGCATCTCTCTTTTGTCCCTCCTGACCCCAAAAAAATAACAATAGAAAAAGTTTAACTTATCGCAGGCGATTACTATGGAAGAGATAAAGGAGGCTGCAATGAAGATGGGAGGCTTAAAGGCTCCAGGTCTAGATGGGTATTAGGGAATTTTCTTTCACAAATATTTATGATGAAGTCAAAGGCATCACAAAGGATTTCTTCCTAAACAATTAGAGTCTTGGTGCTTTGAATATTACAAACCTTGTCTTAATTCCCAAAATTCCAAACCCTGAGGGAGTTTCTCATTTTCGCCCACTTAGCCTATGTAATTTCTCTTTCAAGATTGTATATAAAGTTATGGCAAATAGATTGAAGGTTTTTTTGCCACAGATCATCTCTCCAGCTCAGAGTGCTTTTGTCCCAAACCGTCAAATTCAAGAGAATCTTTTAATTGCCCATGAAGCTTTCCACATTTTAAAGCTGCGAAAGACAACAAAAATGTACAATTTGGGCATCAAACTTAATATGAACAAGGCTTATGATAGAGTGGGGTGGCACTTCCTGGAATCGGTCATGCTCAAGATGGGTTTTGGTGATGAATTTGGTTCGAACTATGCAATTCTCGTTGGTCTTGAATAGGGTGCAAGGTGACACTTTTACACTAACGAGGGGCATCCGACAAGGAGATCCACTATCATCGTACTTGTTTTTTTATTGTGAGTGAGGTCATCTCCCTCATGATTAAAAAAGCATGTGATGCTAATTATTTGCAAGGTCTAAAGTTTGGAAGAAGATGATCTATTCTCTCTCACCTTCTTTTTGGCGATGATGCCCTCTTTTTTATCAGGGCTAATACTCAGAACTGTCATAATATGCGACTGTTGCTTGACGGCTACTGTCATGCGTCTGGTCAGCAAATCAACTTCGGGAAATCAAGTCTTTTCTTTAGTCCCAATACACCTGCAACTATCCGCACAGAGTTGCGTGCCATTCTTGGTATGACTATGGCAGATGACCCAGGTAAATACTTGGGTCTTCCTACAATGTGGGGGAGGTCTAAGAAAGAGGTATTGCAGTTTGTGAAGGAGAAGTTGTTGCATAAGTTAAGCGGATGGAAACAATCCATTCTCTCACAAGCTGATAGGGAGGTCCTTATCAAATCAGTTGCTCAAGCTGGATAGGGACTGTGTATAACAATATCATCCCTGTCCCCACTCTCCATTTCCGCCCTTGTCTCCAAACTCATCCCCGTTTAATAAATTTCGAGGAATCCAAGTCCCCGTTCCCGACCGAGGAGGGAGGGAACGGGACCATCCCCCATACTCGCTCCAAATCCCCGATTTTTTTTTGCATAAAAAATATTTATCATACATTTTAACATTAAGTTTCATATTAAATTATCATTCAACACATCCAAATTAACTATAAAGTTCAACTCAACTATTCAAAATCACATCAATATGAAATTCCAAAGAAAATTAAGAAGAAATAGGATAGGGAGGTTAACTTGGGATTAAATATAAATATTATAATTATTTATTTATTTAAATATAGACATATATTTTCGGATCGGGTTCGGGGGATGGGGAGACCAAAATGCTTGTTAAAATGAACAAAATTAAGTTTGCTTTCCAGCAGTCAAAATCCTGCAAAAGTCATAATTCAAAAGCTGATAACATAAGTCAGATACTTAAAGTCCGTAGTTCCAGGCCATTGCCCATTTACATCACAACACAAACATATATACTGTGGCTTTGGGTTCTCGGCCCTTCCACACACTTTAATTTGTTACCCTAATCCTCGTTCCTCTACTCAATGAGCTGAATGAGGAAAGGCGCTAGCCGTGCGGTGTGCTTGGACAGCACAGGCACAATGCACGGATGTCAAGTTCAAACAGCCGCTCATAATGAGGGAATGCCTTCCAGAGCAGGTATGAAGTGCGGGAAATGAGTCGCACACCGCCTGAACAGCAGAAGGGGTTAGTGCTGTGCATTGGCTGATGTTAAGAGTCCTGAGCCCTTCCTCATCATTCTTGGGTTTCCTAGATTCCCACACTGCTGCAGGCTTGTTCCTAACTAAACTCTGGGCCAAAGAATACATTGCTCTGTCTGTAATGTTCTGACAGTAATAGAGGCCAAGGGATCTCAGATGAGGGCACCTGTTTGCCAAAGCAATCACACTGTCATCTGCAATGAAAGAATAAAGGCATCAGAGATGATCACTATCCATAAACCAGGTAAACTACATTTTCTGTTCAATTCCTCATGTTCCAATTGTAAGGGCTCTCTTTCAGTTCAGTACTATTTTCGGTGCATTCTTTCATCAAGATGGATATGGGTTAATTATTTCAATTGGTAGAAAATGGAAAGCATAAAAAGAAAGGTTAGCCTAAGCATCTAATAAAAATTTTCATTAAGTCATTAGGCATTTTACTGAAGACAATGCTAAATCGCTACTATAAGGTTAATGATGGATAGTGATTGCCAACTCTGAAACAGCACACCCAATACTAAGCAACTTGATAATAGCAGCATTGATTCCCTTGCAATGCACCTATTAGTACATACATGTGCAAATACGAGATTTGAGAAATATGACTGCCAAAACCAACTGTAACAAGGAACAGGTACTGTAACCAAAATACCTGTTATTTGGAGACAGCCACACAAATCAACGGTTCTGAGATCAGGGCATCCATATGCCAAGCTCATAACTCCAACATCACTTACATCCTCACACCAACCAAGATTCAGACACTGCAACTGACTGCAATAACGACCAATAGCCTGCACATGATTTTACAGTATTAATAGAACTATCTTAGCTAAGACATGGAAAAAAAAAAATTCAATATCTTATCTTTACCAGCAATGCCCTGTCTAACGCAGTTCTGACACATCCACAAAGATTCAGAACTTTCAATTTTTGGCAAAAGCTAGCCAGATACTCAAGAGCACTGTCACTGAAGGCCGTACACCCGCTAATGTTGAGTTTTGTAAGATTAGGGCACCCATGAGCTAAGGCATACAGGGAGCGGTCACTGAGCTTGAAGCTTTTGCTGAGGTCCAGGACCTGCAGATCATGACAGAAGTTTGCAATGCTCTCAACAGCATTATCCTCAAGTTGGGGTTTATCTTGACGTAGAATTAGAGTCTGCAATCTTGTAAACTTAGGAGCAAGAGATAGGACCAAGTTGTTCATGTTCTTGGTGCACCTGAAAAGATAATTGACAAGCTAGTTATGATTAAATTGGCATTCAGAACCTTTTTTTTCTTTCTAAATCAATGCACAAAGCTTAAATCAAGTCATAGAAAATCTCTAGAATCCTTTCACGTCACTCATTTACTTTCTGGAAACAACAGAGAAAGGATTTGGCATCTGGGAAAATTTTAAGTTCCCTGTATCCAAAAGCATAGTCTTACGCTTTTGATATTCCAAATTTCCAAAGGATCTTTAGTTCCTTTCTCAGCCGTCTTTGATTCACCTTAGCAAGCTTTCAACTCTGTTAGTTGAGCATCATCAATGTACTTACATTCTCTCCTTTTGTGTTGGGTTGGCAAGGGTAAGGGGAGAGGGAAGAAATAAACTGAAAATAAATAGACTAATGATAACTAGCGACATGAAGTACCAACAACTAACTAAGTCGCACACAGTTGGTAACAACGTGGATCTCAAAATACCCCATGATTTCACATTGAGATTGTATGCGCAATACTAACAAAATCCAGCTTAAACTGACTGTATAAACATAATGCAGCAACCCTTATCAACATCTTTTCCTTCCAATTAAATCTATTTCCACAAGATATTCATGATGAAATTCCTCTCATAAAGATTACAGGCATTATGTCACAAACAAGAGAGAGCATTGACTTTCAAAAATTGAGGAAGATAAATATATCTCAATTCTAACATAGGAGGCCAACTTAAAATCAGGATATAACTGTCTTGGGAGAAAAAATGAACTCCAAATAACTTCAAATAATTAGCTGAGATGAAAAGAGCCTTACGCAGGGAAACAAAATAGAATTTTACCAACTCCAGGAAGAGAATCTAGACGTAATCTTACAACTAGACAGCATGGGCAAGCAATACAATTAGTCTGATCTGGAACACTTGAAGCATCATTTTCACATAACCCTATATACGCTCTTGCAAATTGACATCATTTCTTATAATACCCTTACAGAAAACAATTTTTAAGATGCATTTTGATTAATAAAAACCATTGGAGGAATCATATCGTGTTCTAAAGAGTAACAAAACTGCCAAAAGGGATTACACAAGAACAGAGGATGGTTTATCAAAGAGGACAGGGCAATATTTACACACACATTATGTCAACATATTTGTTTCGTTATTTGTATCTTCAAACAGAATATTTCAACTAGTTTTGATGCCACAACAACAACAACAACAACAACAACAGCGGAAAAAGATGCACAGAGGGCAAAGCATATACCATGAAAGGGAGAGACGGGTAAGGCCTAAGCAAACAGCATCTCTCCAGCCACGACAGACTCCAGAAGCCATGATCACCGTCTGATCATCGACAATTCCAAGGATTTGCAACAGGAGCTCCATGGGAATATCCTTCCAATCAGTAATAGCCCTTCCTTCCATTTTCACTTTTCCACAACCAAGAGCAATAGCACCAGCACTACCACCACCAAACATCATGAGTTTCTCAAAGCACAAGTTCAAGTCTTCAGTCTTGAAGTTTTCTTTTCCTACCATTTCAGAATCTAATCTCAGCCCAAAACCCACCGCCTATCACAATATAAAAGAAAAGCTCCTCGTTTCTGCCACCAGCTCAAGAGAGAGAAACATGGATAAGTCAGTACAAATTCCGATACAGAGAAAACAAAGGTGTGGAAAAACGACAAGAAAATAGAGTACCAACACAAACCCATGTGTCAACACCTCAGAAACTTGCAGAGAATCATGTAACAGATATAGCAGAGTAAATCATGTTCAAATTAAAAAGCCATTGTTACTTTGTAAATATAAATAAACCCATTAGCTTGCTTATAAGAACATTGAAATATGCAGCAAGCTCAAAATCAAATTAGAAAAAAGGAAAAAGCTTGACAGTGATGATGAAATGAAATATGGAACCTCAACTTCAAAGAACATAAATTTGAAGCACAAAATATTATATTTGAACTTAGAACACAAAAGGTCAACTTTTAGAGGAAATCAAGATAATAGCTCTGCAAAATGACACCAGATTGTTCAATTTAGAAAAACAGAAAAACAGATACTGAAAAATTGAACTCTTCAGGAACAAGTACTTACAACAAAACAGAGCAACTTACAAAAATTCTTTGAAAAACAGAGAAAGTTCATGCCTTGATCATATACCTGAATAAGGTTCTTGATCAAAACAGTATGCGGGCTTGTTTTGTTTTCGTCTCGGTTTGATGATTTCGTGAAGCAGAGAAACAGAAAAATAGAGAGAGAAAGAGAGAGACCTTTTAATAAGTACAAAAAGGAGAAGAGGAGAAGCGTCTAGGCAGAGAATTGAAGACGTGTATGGTGCCACGTGGCAATACACCATGAATACTGATTTGTTATGATGGTGGGACCAGAAAAGTGGGACCCACAATCTGCGGTCCTGATTTATTTGATCTGATCAGAACTCTGTAGAGAAAGAGAGGATGACCCATTTACGGCTTTTTTTTTTTGGGTCAAACTCAAAACCCCATTTAAGCCTTTATGAAGGAAAAAAAAAGGAGTGGAGAAATCATCATTAAAAAAAAATTCGTGACAAAGAAATTTTAAACGGGAAAAATTTTATACTGAAAATTTTCATATATAATTTTTCTTTAAGCCTTTAAGAAAAGAAAAGAAATGTGACAAAGAAAGAATATATGATAAATGAAAGGACAGAGTTTTCCAAGACTTGGAGAAGAACTAGAAGGTTCCATTTGCGTATAACCGAAACCGCACTCAAAAGCAATACCACCCATGAATGATTTTACATGCTTTGATGGTACCTTCTTTTCGCCACAAGTGCCCCTTTGCTATTTATCCTTTTTATCATTGCTCATTATTCATTCATATCCAATAATATTCCTTTACATCTCACTACACCCAAAGATAAAAAGGTAAGTTTAGGACAAAGATGTAAATTTACTCGCCAAATGTCACAACTTATATTTTTACGGACTAAAAATATATACGATGCAAGAAACTTGTAGCTAAAATGATTAAAAGTATTTACTCATATTGTACATATGAGATTTTAGGTTCAATTTTTCCGCTCCCATATCACATGTATTAACATGCAAAAAAAATATTTCCTAATCAATTTATGTTGGTATAAATAATTCTGATAATATATCAAAGGGATAATTGTAGAAATGTCACCTGAACTTATATATCAGTTTCAATTTGTCACTTTAAAGAAAAATTTAAGCAAAATGTCACCTTAAGTTTTCAAAATGCTTAAATTTTTCTTCAAGATAACAAATTGAAACTGATGTATAAGTTCATATGACATTTCTACAAAAATCCATATATCAAACTATCTCATAAAAGAATATTTCACTTAGTATACATACAATTATCTTGTAATATAAGTACAAAGCCGGAGCCAGAATCATATTTCATTAGAATTCGACCATTCATGTCATCACGAAACAATTAATATAAATTATATATAAAACTTAGAATATTTGTAATTTACTATATAAAAAATTATAATATTCCTAAAACACATTAATATACTTTATACCTTGATTGTTACACCTCATTCAAATATTCAGTCTCATTGTATTCATCCCTTCATAGATGCACGAGTTTTAATAATTAATTATATATACATTGATTCATAAGGTCAAAATCGAGGTAGATGAATTTGAATAATATGAATTTGTCTCAAGACTAGAAAGAGGGACAGGTGAAAGTAGCGATGAGCTTTATAAAAGAGGATTAAAGTTCCCAAAAAAATAAAAAGAGGATTAAAGTATAATGAAATCAAATATATGTATCCCTATAATCAGATAGTCACGTAATGAAAGCGATATAGAATAATGAGTATATATAATAAAGTATAAGAAGGTTTATCCCCGTTATGTGATCCCTCACTACATCTACATACAAAAATATATTTATTTTGTGGAACATATAAAAATAAGTTATCAAAAGTAAAAATGATTTCTTTTAGTACGTGAAGAATGTTATGTGTCTTGATGGAGTCTGTCTTTTTTCTTTAAATTAGACTTTTAAGCCATGTTAATCTTTATGGGCCCAGATGATCTTCATCTTAAATCACTAATGGTGGCTCATATTGAACGCCATACACATGAAAAATTTGTTTCTTTTCTGTTTCGAAGCATACAAATGGAAAGCAAGGCATTAGAAGCACTTTTCCCCAATACAAATAAACGAATACGTTTCTAATTTTTTTTCCTTTATATAAACAATAGCTTAAACTACTATAATCTATACACAGGGAGATCAAACTCGATAATAATGAGACCTATATACTATTAGTGGTGGATTCAGAATTTGGAAGTCAAGTAGGCGGAACTTGCACGTTACATGGATACAGTACGGATACGTCGATACAAGAAATTTCCAAAAACTAAAATATGTGTATGACATTGATATGATGATTAAATAATATAAACAGCAAAATTCATATTGCATCCATCAAATAAGAAAAGGAAAAAAAAAAAAAAAGAATCAATTGCATTTTGAAAAAAAAAATTTAATACATATAAAAACAATTAGCATCTATTGCTATAAAACTAGGCTCTAGTGTACAAGAAATTGGGCTAGGGTGTAAAAAAAAATGGGTGTCCAAATAATTTTACCCAGTTCAAAATAATTATAGAGTTCAATTATAGACTCTCTGCCACCTGTGTCCCTCTCTCCTCTCTCTCTCCCTTTTTTTTTTCTCCTTTCTCCGGGCTTGTTGATTCCTTCTCTCTCTCTCTCTCTTTTTTTTCTTCTTCCCTTTCTCTTTTCCTTGGTCTTGTTGCTTCATCTTTGCCTATTTTATTTTCTGACAATTTTCGGCCTACGCAAAACATGGCTAGATTCAGTATATACTACCCTAACTAACCCACCTAACGCGGTTTTTAATTTCTTCCTAAAAAAATTTAGGACTGCTCCAATCCAACATTGCCATTTGCCACTTCGTTGCTTTGTTATTTCTCATTTGCATGTATTATGTGTGCTATATAATGCCACCAAGGCGAAATCTCTTAATATTTAAACTCTGCTGCAAAACATCGTCTTTAATTCTAGTTTACATTTTGCAGTTGGCAGACAACAAAAGCAACAAAAGCAAATGGCCAACTTGGGAGGTCGCTTCCTAGTAATAATTTACTATTTTCTGGCTTTACATGACAGATAACGTGAAAAATAAGGAAGCAAAATGTGCGATATATATTGACTTTGTAATATCACCCACACCACACTCATTGTCTATTTTCAGTTATAAGAAGACAACTACAGTAACTTGGGAGCTACTAAATATTAATGTTTTGGCAAAAAAAACGGAGACCTTAATACCAATTTAGCTAACCACCATTAGCCATCCTACTTACCAAGTTCACAATTTGCATATAAAACAAGTTCATATCATATCCTTATATTGTATCGATATCGTCTTCAACTTAATTGCTTAGAACGCTCGAAACTAAATCATCTGACAAATATCACAATAGTACTATTTCAAAAGTAGATCAATTATATTTAGTTCACAATTTGACAAGGAAATTGTATTTGATTTACAATTACAATAACAATTTTAAAAAAAATGTTGTTTTGGCCACACATACATTTGATTGATTGTTAATGTACCCCATTAACCCCATCATCAGGATTTGGAGCCTGCTCCACCTAGTTGTGGTTTGGGGCCCTCCATTGTCGCTAAGCATATAAAAGAATTCTCATGCAGAATTCATTCATCTTGAGATATCATTTGTTTAAAGTTGTTGCATAGATATTGTTCTCAACTTAATTGTTTAGAGAGCTCGAAATTTAACTTTGTAATAAATTTTACGAGAGTGCCTTTTCAAGTAGAACAATTGTATTTAATTCACAATTTGACTATTTGATTTACAATTGCAATTTGCAAAATGGGTGCAGACGCGACAAACCGATATTGATTTATATTTATGCATCATGATTAGCATCGCACAACTTGTAACAAATTGAAATCACATAAATCCTGGTCAAAAGTGACAGAAGCGTTCTTATCTCCTTTCACTTCAGCTTTCAAAAATGTATGAGTGGTGGTGCCTAGTGGAGGTCAGAAATCTAATTTAAATCACGTAAGTATCTCTTTGGTATTTTGTTTCTTTTGCCCTTTTTTTTCTTTCCAATTTTAATATCCATTTTCTATCATATCTTTGTGTCTGTTTCTTCGTCCACCTTCCACCACACAGAGGGAACATACTTCTTCCCTTTTTCTGAACCGAAAGCCTGGCTTATCTCTTTTAATCCTCACTCTGCTCATGAATTCTGCGCAGCTTCTCGTCTTGATACATTCTCATCTTCATCTTTTTTTTTTGGGGGGGGTTGGGATTCCCATCTTCATCTGTACACACGAAAAAGATTGCATGATTGATCCTATGAAAAGTTATATTTTTTATATTTATTTTTCCCGAATTTGAGTGACAATTATTGAGTAGGTTACTTGATACTCTTTAGGTGCCCATAATGGTACGTTGACACAAACAATATACTAGTAACTTGTCGGCTACGGGTTGTCTTTTGCTTCGTTATTCTCTTTTTATATACGTAATTTTGTTTGCTTGTGACAATTTAATTAGATTAGTGTTATTTTATTCTTTGCAGCCACTTCTGGAGAATGAATGAGTCAATCAACTTTCGATAAATAATGCGTATATTTCATTGAATACTATTTGTCTGCTTATTTATAAGAAGATACTCTTCTTTTATGCGAATTATAATTCGATAAATATGCAAAAATAATTTATTAAAAATGAAAAACGAAAAACTTATGTACATATATCATGCTGCTATTAAAAGGAATATATAAACTCATACTTACCTAATAAAATGATTATTTAGTCAAGTGCGTACTTTATGTATTTTGTTTACTTCTATTTTCTTTTTCTTTTTTCCTTTTTTTTGAAAAAAATAGAAAAATGATTCTACCTCATTCCATAAAATATATGAAATCCTAACTGGCCTATGAATGCTTCAAGCATTCTTTTATTCCGTTTCCTCTATTGAATATTCACGAGAATGTTTCTTGTCAAAACTATGTGCTACCCTTTTACCAACGTAGTGATTGTTTGATTTATAGGTAATCACGGCTACAAGTCTATGGCTATAATTGAAGTATAATACTATTTGCACCACATTTATTTAAATACGATGTTTATATATAGTTAATTGCATTGTGGGAAATATAAGAAAAGAAAACCTTAAAACTAAAAGTCTGATTCCATTTATTAGGGCTAATTTTGTTTATTTCATTTGCCA